AATTTGTCTCTACTATTCCATTTAAATTGCTTAGGAAAAGGCCACCCATGAACTCTACATTACCAAATCAAATAACCCATATCAAATCCTGTCCCCTCATCAATAAATGACCCTGTTGACTGCTCATTTGCTATTAAATATCTGTACTTTGTTGTCTCTTCAAACACCTCTCTATTCTGGTTAATATCAGACCTCTCTGGCTAATTTTACTCATTGCATTTTCTGGCTTTACTTCCTATGCCAATGCCCTGAATAGGAATGTTGACCACACCCATTGCGTGAAATCTCAAACTCAACCTGTCTTCTGAACTCCAGACAGGTTCACACCTCACTCCTGGATAATTCCCTTTGTATGCCAAATAAAAACCTTAAACTCAACATGTCCAAAATAGAACTTAGACTAGACTAACAGGATGTCCCCTGTACCATTCCCAACTGCTACTTCCACTGCTTTCACTTTTGTATTCTCTATTCAGGTGAATGGCATCTCCATTCACTTTCTCATTCCAGCCAAAAATATGAACTATGACAGGGATGCACCTTACTTTCCCTCACTCATAATTACAATTGTTCACTATATTGTAAATTTTTACTTTATTAATACTTTCTCAACAGCCCTCACTTTTACATTTCCACTGCTTCTGCCTCAATTTAGACCTTAATAATTAAATAAATTATTTTACCCTTCTTCTTGTTGTCTTCCCTCCCTTCAATCTCAAAGAACTCCAAACAGAACTGAAAGCAGCTTTAAAAATCTCAGCATAATTATGTTGCATACTTGTTTAAGCCTTTCCACTGCTCCTCTTCATTTATAGGTTAGTTTTTGCTTCCAACAATCACCATTATTCTTTGATGATTTTCTAGCTCAAAATGTTTATTTCTGATTATATATTCATTCCATGCTCTGAAATGAATAACACTTCCTATTTAACCAATTGCTATACTTCTAGCAAGTTATTCCAATCATTCCAGCTATATACTCTTCCTTAAATATTTTCCTTATTACTTAAGAGTCCATAAGAGTCCACATTTTATTTTGAATTGATAATTCCACTCTCTTTTGTTATTTTCTGTCACTTAGGGTTAGGCTTTTTTTTTTTTGAGGTGACATTAGAAGCTAGTCATATTTCACATATGCTGAATGAAAACATTTCAAACATATGTCCAGTGAGATCATGACATACTTCTGAAAATGTACTGAAGAACCCCACAAGAAAAGAGTTAATACAACANGAAGCCGGCGACTGATCCACCTCGCCTGGGAAGAGCGCAATGATGGTGCCAACTTGGGCCAGTGAAGCGACGTCCTCCACAACTAAACTGAAGAACAAAACAACAGCAACTTGTCTGTTCCCCTTCCCCCAATCCCCCAGCGCTGTTCCCATCCCCCAATTCCCCAATAAAAAATCTTTAAAAAAAAATGTTATTTTGACCAAAGGTTAGACCTTAGGAGAATTTGAATAGAAGCAACTGAAAAATACTCAGGCCACCACAGCTAAGGTCTGTATGCTCCTTGCAGGGAATGAAGGTTTGAGAGACAGAGCGCCGAATCCTAACCACTAGACCACCAGGGAAGCTAAGAATGAAGGTTTGAAAGGGAACATTTCTACAAAGGCCCACAAATCATACCAAGAACAACATTAGTGAGTTGAAGATAGGTGAGGGATTGGTACTATAAGTATATGCACTATTTGTAAGGCTTTTTGCTTGTGGGAATGACTGCATAAGATATAAATAATATATATACAATGTCTGTTTAGGTTCATAAATACAGAATGCGGTGATGGGTGAACTCAGAAAAAAATGTGTACTTTGCTGTCTGTAGAAAGGAGACTCAGTGTATCCACAACAGATTTTATCTGGAAATAAGCTTTGGTAAAATAGACCATACAAATGTTTTCACCTCTGACATATTGTACATCATAGTTGAACATTAAACAGACTTTTCATTTCTTCAAAATAAGTTGCTAATTGTGCTTTCTTAGATCTTTACTATAATCTTAAACAAAGCTTGTAGTCAGGGATACAGAGAAAAATAATTAATATTTATTAAATATTTAGATGAATAAATAACCATATACATATTACATTAAATCAATAAAATAATTATTGCTTAATATTTTGTTTTTATTATTAAGAATGAAGTATTTGCTACCCAAATATATAATAGCTATCTGAAATATACATATAGCTTATTAATTAAAATTTTAAATATTAACTCTCTAATAAAAAAGGGAGCCTAAAAACATGAATTAAAGAAAATAAAACAATATATTCTTTTTTTTTCCATGTTCAATGGAATAAAAATAATATGCTTAGATTCAACAATTAATTATCTGGTAACAGTGTTTCATAAACTATGTAGTAAAGGTACATTTTAAAATTTTCAGTCACAAAATAATTATTTGTAAAATGTAACTAAAATGGTATGTAGGAAAAAAGAAATGAGAAAACATCCAAATACAATTCTCTTACTGTACACTGATAATTATTATTAAATTAAAGAAACACAGATATATTATGTCACATTAATGCATAAGTTTCTAAATGTTTATTTTCATTTTCTGTACTCATTCCATTGCAGAAAAATTAGGATATTAAAACACGCCCATGAGTTACAGTTTGAGTAGCAGTGTCTAATATGTATCAAGGTTGACCAGGCAGTAAGAAATGATATACTACTGTAATTAAAATAGCAGGCGTGAATTTGCATGAATTTTTAAAAGAAATGTAGTTAATGCACATTATTTATTTTGAATATTTCATTTGAAAATATCAATAGATCAATTAAATGACAGGTAAATTAAATACCAAAGGTACTTTTTCTTTCATTTCTCTTCAATAAGTCACAATATCTGGGAAAATTGATCAAAAAAGTAGCCTAGAGGCTCAGATGCTCTGTGTTAGGAAACAGCATTTAATTTTATAGTAGGTATATATTAGGGTCAGTTTAAAACAAGAGCTATTATGAGTAGCCAATTAAGTGCTCAAGTCGAATTTTAACATTTGTGTCTGAGACAATGCATTTTATTCTAGGAAAAGCATGCAGCTCTGGCATCATGTTTCCTATCAACAATACCAACTCAATATTCTCTACCTTCCTGGTGACAGCCATACCTGGGCTGGAGGCTGTGCACTTCTGGATCTCCATACCCTTCTGTGCCATGTTCTTCATTACCTTGGTGGGCAACGCGACCATCGTTGCAGTTATCTGGCGACAGCATACCCTCCAGGTGCCTATGTACCTCTTCCTGGCCATGCTAGCTGCCTCTGATCTGGGTCTGTCCCTCTTCACCTTTCCCACAATGCTGAGGATCTTCTGGCTGGATGCTGGAGAGCTCACCTTCTCAGCTTGCTTCACCCAAATGTTTTTTATCCACACTTTCCAGGATTTTGAGTCCGCTACCATACTGGCAATGGCTTTTGACCGCTATGTGGCTATTTCTCATCCATTGCATTACTCCTCCATCCTTACCAGTAGTGTAATTGCCAAGATAGGTCTGGCTATTGTAGTGAGAACTTTGACTATACAGGTGCCCCTTCCTATCCTTTTGAAGAGGCTGTGCTTCTGTCACTCAAATGTGCTTTCTCATTCCTACTGCCTGCATCCCGACATTATAAAGCTCTCCTGCACCAACACTAGGATTAATAGCATCTATGGACTATTTGTACTGCTCTCCACCATGGGACTTGATTTCCTCCTCATTTTGTTTTCATATATTCTGATACTAAAAACTGTACTAAGCATTGCATCCTACGGTGGCCGCCTCAAGGCTCTCAACACTTGCATTTCCCACCTTTGTGCTGTGACCCTGTTCTTCACACCCATGATCTGCCTGTCTATACTGCACCGCTTTGGACCCAAACTTCCCTCCCACATCTATGTGACCATGGCCAACATGCATTTCCTCATTCCTCCTGTGATGAACCCCATTGTGTATGTGGTGAAAAACAAACAGATACGAGATAAAATTCTGAAACTCTTCATCAGAAAAGGACCAGAAGAATCCCAAGTCAAATTTATAACATGAATGAGCATATCCTAACAGAGAAAGAATGCTTCATAAAGCAAAGAGCTTGCTGATATTCCAAATGCCCACAAAGACTGTTTCACCACTGACTCTTCTGAATTATACAGGATATTTGTTGGATAATTATTTCTATTCTATTATTTGAATGAATATGTATTGAACAACACAAATTATTCAATAAATTAAAATTTTGAAATAATAAAGTATTCTCATTATTTCTTAGTCCAATGGTTCATATATTTTGGCCAGAGAAGTTTGTATAGTCTTAGAGAGTTCATTTTGGACAGAGCGATTAAAGTACTTTTTGTTGTCATCTGTATATGTATCACTCTTGATAAGGTGATGTTATTTAGTGAATACCTACTCTATTTTTTACTTTTTGAGGAGTGGGAGATACGCTACGAATCAAACAAGGTTTTTGCCTGCAGTGTTTTGTTTTCTTAATGATATTGTTGTTGAAGTAGGGGACAACAAGAAAGAAACAAATAAACAAATGAATATCTAATATTGCTGTTGAAAAGATCTATAAAGCCATGAAATTTACTATGTCAACAATCTCTACCAAATATATACCAACATTTCTATTGTCAGACTCTAAATCTGTAGCATAATGTTCTGTCTTTCAGGCATACTCACTTTTTGACTTCACAGCCTCCAGACTTTGGCCTTGAGATCTCTAGTCCGTGTCCTTTAAACCCTCACCTTCTCTAAGTCTATGAAAACACTGTTATTTTATTGTCTTCCATATTCACTATGGGCCACACATACTCCAAGAAAACCTCTGTAACCACACATGAACTTCATTTCTTTAGCATGCATTTTGCTTTAATCCAAGCTAGTTTGTTTAGCCTNGGAGAGGGCGGCGGTTATAATGTCTTGGTTTATAGAACAGGTTCTGACCCAGCAACTCCTTTGTTTCCAGGGCCTGTGATTGCACCTCTGCCTGGAGTTCTGCCCCTCCAGGTCATCATGTCTGGCTCCAACCACACCGGCACTTTTTTCTTCCTAACAGGCCTCCCAGGCCTTGAGGCTGTGCACACCTGGCTCTCCATCCCTCTGTGTGCCATGTATGTGGCATCTCTGGCAGGAAACAGCCTGATCCTATGGGTGGTGAAGTCAGAGCCCTCCCTGCACCAGCCCATGTACTACTTTCTGTCAATGCTGGCAGTGACCGACCTGGGCTTGTCTGCCTCCACACTGCCCACCATGCTCACAATCTACATGCTGGGTCTCAGGGAGGTGGCGGTGGATGTGTGCCTGGCCCAGCTCTTCTTCATCCACAGCTTCTCCATCATGGAGTCCTCTGTGCTGCTGACCATGGCCTTTGACCGCGTTGTGGCCATCAGCAACCCCCTGCGCTATAGCACCATTCTCACGAGTCCCCGGATTGTCCGGATGGGACTGGCCATCATGGTGCGCAGCATCGGTCTCGACATCCCGGCCCCCATCATGCTGAAACAGCTGCCTTACTGCCGCAATTTCCGGCTCTCTCACTCCTACTGCTTGCACCCAGATGTCATGAAACTGGCCTGTGCTGACACCCACATCAACAGTGCCTATGGTCTCTTTGTAGTGCTCTCCACGCTGGGTGTGGACGCGGTGTTCATTGTCCTCTCCTATGCGCTGATTCTCCACACAGTGCTGTCTATTGCCTCCAAGGCCGAGCGCCTCAAAGCCCTCAACACTTGTGTCTCCCACATCTGTGCTGTGCTGCTCTTCTACACACCTATGATTGGCCTATCCATGATCCACCGATTTGGGAGGTGGGTTTCCCCATGCAGCCTTGTACTGCTCTCCTATCTGCACTTTCTCACACCTCCATTGCTCAACCCCATTGTCTACACTATCAAAACCAAGCAGATCCGAAGGAGGATGCTGCGTCTCTTCTGGTGGAATAGAAGTAGCAATAGGGACAAAGAGCATAATTAAAATCTTTGCTAGATAGAGCAAAGGCAGAGTGATGCTCANCTATGTTCATAGTGGAGTCTTTTTATAGCCTTGAAAAATTTGTTTGGCAGTGACATGGTTAAAGGCCGTTGCTTCCCCAAACCCCATGGTGCCAGCTGTATTCGTTAAGGGATAATGTCCAGGAATTGGCTGATTTGCTATAAAATTGCTATTCATTGAGGACCCCCCTTTCATTGTACCCAGGAAGAAGGTGAGGGATGTCATCAGCTCTTGTCTCCTTGTGGGTAAGTTTCCTCTCCTGGAAGAGGAAAGGGGTAAAGCCATTCGCCTAGGTTCTTATTAGTGCTCATTTAAGAATGCTGTTAATATGTTTTAAGTTAAGATCCTGAAAAAGGGCAGTATGTTGAAAATTTAGAGGAAGAAAAGGGGTTCTTCATCTTCAGGTACCATCTGGCAGCTATTGGGTGAGTTTTCAGAAGAATTCCTCAAATGTGCTGTCATAATAGATAAAACCAACTAAATGGGCAATTAGGAGATGGGCTGATAACTCACCAGCAAGTCTTCCTTGCCTTAAATACAGCCTGATATAGGTTATATAAAACTCTAAGCAGATGGATTCTATGTCCCTCAAAGGGAGACAAGCTGTGATGAGAAAAAGTTTGAGGAGCAGAACGGTTTGGGGAGCTGCTCCTTCGTGAAGATAGTTTGAAAAGACAGTCTGTTTCTTCTTGCACAATGGAAGGCTACAGAACAATGATGTGAATTTATAACCCCAGGGTGATCAAGATTAACTGTAATTCTTTCTAAATATTTAAAGAATCATTTTGTAAAAATCTCCTTGAATTTTGAGTATGGTAAGTAAATTTAGGGGAAAAAATTAAAGGACACACACATATTAACAATTATTTACTTTCTAAGTACCTTCACAAGTTTATGTCTGATTGAAATGCTGCTGATAAACCAAAAGACATAGATCCTATAAGGAGGAAGCTCATAGTGTATTCTTAACACTTTGGGGAAACAGCTCTTACTTAATCCCAAGGTTTGTCTAAGTATTTTTTTTCTTTTTATTAATTTTATTTATTTTTTTAATTGTTAGTTTCAGGTGTACAGAACAATGCAATAGTTATCCTTTTCACCCTTCACACAGAAACAACCCATCCACTGCCCTCCCACCCCCGATATCATGCTTATCTATTACAATTCCATTGACTCCATTCC